AATATAATGTAGGCGCTGAAAAACAAGGATATTATGTTCAAAATCCAAATATTTATGATCAACAAAGAGATAGCATTAGTAGCAATCCTGTAGGAGAAAGTTCTCCTGTACCACACTTTCATAATTATAACATACCTCGTCGTGAAAGCAATTCTTCCATCTCTGGTCAGATTTATGAGCGATCCACTAGTCCTGCATTTAATCCCAGACAATATTCTTCACCAACCCCTCCTCCGATTATACGACAAGTAAATCAACCACCATATATGCAACAATCGTCTCAGCAACCTTATCAACAGAGATCCCCTCGTATGCACAATGTGGCTGGACCACAAAATTCAATGTCATCTCCGATAGTTAGGCCCCGACATGACATAAATAATCCCCAACAACCACCACCTGATTCTTATTATCAAGGTGTTTCAGTACCAATTCCAAATGTTTCTGTCCAAGATTCTTATAAACAAAGTGCTTCAGTACCACTTCCAAAGGTCCCTGGCCAAGATTCTTATTATCAAGGTGTTTCAGCACAAATTCCAAATGTCCCTGGCCAAGATTCTTATTATCAAGGTGTTTCAGCACCAATTCTAAATGTTTCTGGCCAAGATTCTTATTATCAAGGTGTTTCAGCAACAATTCCAAATGTCTCTGGCCAATATAATTATGACCCATCCCATAATTACTATAATAATCAAGTGCCTCAACGATCAATGATTGGTTATGGTCAAGCGTATTATCCAGGAGAGGACAATGAAATATCACAAAATAACATGTATAATCCGCAAGACCAAATGAATGCCCGAAGATATAATAATTACAACTAAAAATACACTGTAATAAAATATTTAAAAAAACAAAAAACTCGAAAATTCATCTTCCTGTATAATAAATATTTAATGTAAAAACTGATTTTTTTAAAAAAAAAAAAACTTCCTATTTTTATTAGTCATTAATAGACTTTGACTTACATTAGTAATTGTACCTATAATTGATTATAATTTAAATAAATATAGTAGTGTTATTTAGCGGAGAACTTGGGATTATAACGTTAAATAAAAATAAAAATACAAAACATTTATAAAAAAATTTTTAATTAATAACTGTATTTTTTTCATATATATTTATTGTTGTTAATATACAATCTCTAATGCATTACAATTTATTTACCGACTGCTTACAGACTGCACCGGCAAATTATTATTTAAAATATATTAAACTACCAATGGAACTTCTAATATTGAAACCGGACCACACCGGCAAATATTTAATACTTGGGTTTTTGGCGAAATCCTAATTAAGGTTAAAGCATTTTATAAGTTCTGGAATTGGGTTTTTTTCATCGGTTGAAAATATCTTGTCGAGATGATCTTGATATAATGACTGGAGGGTCAGTTTACACTTTCAGATTTGCAAATGGATACAATAAATTCTAGTAGTATACCTTATACGTATTATGCCTAACTAAACCTTAAGTAAATTAATATAACATATATAGCTAAAATGAATTATTTTAAGCTTAAAACTGCTAATTAGTGAAACTTAAAAAGAATTATTTTAATGTGTAAAAACAAATTAAAATGCAACTAATAGATGTTTGGTTACTCACAACAAAAATCTTTTTAAGGAGCTAAAATACGGAAACATTAGTGGTATTAGTACGTGTACATTAATTATCAAATATATAGTACAAATACTGATTAAGTTTGATACTTTGAAGTACGTAAAAGATTCTGAATTAGGATTGGTTTTATTAATTCCACTATATTATCCCTACGGCAGAGCAGATACATCTGTGAATATCGGCACAAAAATTATGTAAATTTTGATAACGATAATAAATAGAAATTTCTATGAAGAATACATAAACATAATGGCGCCAATGTGTACAAAATAAAAATAACCATCGTAATGTGTTTAAGTATGATAACATGTAGATAATCCTTAACTTTAGCTAAAACAGTAAAACTTATTTAATGCTATGTTCGTTCTTACCAGTGCACAAAATCTATCGTTATTGTAAAATGCCAGCAATTTTAAGTAGTCGGAAATTTTACGCCAATTAAATAGATGTCATTGATCGCTATTCTCCGATTAAAAAAATGTTTGCCGAAAAAAAAACAGGTTACGACACTACACAATTTTTGTGCACTGGTTCATACTACTTGATTTATATCGTTCGTACAATGCAATGCTTGTACGTTATAAATGCAGGTGATGACATAATAATAACACTCTGGGTTGAGTTTCCAGAAATCTGCGGTCATCGAATTCTTCTTTGAACGCGGTTCTGCTTGCTCAGCAGTAGAATTGTTAAAAAGTCGGCCCTTTGTGTCGATTCAGCATGAATACATTGAGTCTAACTCATAATTAATAATTACCTATGATTAGATTAGAGGTGTGAGCGCAATGTCGTAATTGGTCGTAATTATAATAGTACAGGGTGAAACCCGAGTTGATTTTTATTATCAGTGTGGTGTGCATCAATAACGTAACCACCTCTGATGCGGGTTTTACCTTGTCGTCAGTGTTGTACAGTCAAAACAATGGACTTATGGACCATCCGAATAAATTTAAATGGAACTAGTATGTAACCCGTCGCTTACGCTGACGGTTATTGTTAAGTTATAAATAAAATAGATTTTACTATATATATATTTATATACAATCGACTCTGGATATACCGAACTGCATATTTTGGGAGGTTTTGTTCGATATAGAGTGGGTTCATCATATAGTTTATTTTTTCTATACCGAACAGTTCGGTATACAGAGCTAACCAATGAAATCATGTGTAGGATCACATCTTCGGAAAAATTCGCGGAACTTCACTCGAAATTTTTGCTCCAGCTCGGAAGCTTTAGGAACCGGGATTATACACAAACAAATAGTTCGTTATATCGAAATATGTGTACATAATCTTGGGCTGGTAAAAGAGTTCGGATGCGGTATTAGGCAGCCTAAATTCTCATAAAAAATCGGTTCTGCCAAATCTGCTTCGATATAGCCCGAGTTCGGTATAAACAGGTTCGGTAGATACAGAGTCGACTGTATATAAGAAATACAGTCAACCCTCCATAAATGCATATCATCGGGACCAAACTTTTGAGGGCTTGCATTTAGAGAACAATAATAAAAAATGCATTTATGGGAGTTTAGTATATATTTGGGCCAGAAAATTAATATGCATTTAAAGAGGTCATGCACTTAGGGAGGATGCATTTAGGGAGGGCCGACTGTATATATTATTAGAGCGGATTGTAAACAGCAGATTATATGGTAAGAAATAAATATTTTAGAGAAATACGGTAGACAAAATCATCCAGGGTGACCTGTATCATGATGTTCCTTGGTTAGTTAGTGCTACATATTGGCTTTCTTCAAGGTGTATTTTAGCAACTTACTAGCATGATTGTATTAAATTTTTAAATAGTGATTTAATGCAACATATATACTATTAAATCTAGCTATTACCAATTTGGGAGTTGTTAATGGGGCAGGTGAGTAGGGTTGGGGGCACGGCAAATTTTTGGGGCATGCCTCTCTATGCCCAGGGCATGCCCTCTATAGATATATATATTATATATTATTATAATTAGCAATAGTAGGATTTAATTTTAATTGGCCAATTTGACAATTGACCAATTATATGATAGCCCTATATCACATGATGGAGGCATACCTTTTGGTCAAAGGGCATGCTCTTGGCATGCCCCCAAAGGCATGCTTCATGGGCATACCTCTTAACCTCATGTCTTTAACCCTACAGGTAAGACATAGAGAAATAAATATATAGATTGCCAAGTAAGGATAGTCAGGAAGCAAAAACTAGGTCAAATATAGGTAGGATATATAAGGCTCTAGTAGGTTTTAAAATTAGATTTTAAATACTATAGTAGCTATGTATATATATAGAAAGTAGTTGCTACAGATATAGCAACACATGATTTATCTTTTTTATTAATACAGCAATGATCGATATAAGTATCCTAAATTTTGACCAATTATATTATAGAATACTTTTGTGAAATACAAACTTGAGTGAAAATATTTTAATAGTCATGAAGCCAAATTTAGTATATTTGTTTTAATTAAATCTTATATATAGTCAAACATCCTAAATGTATATCATTGGAACTAGCTTTAAAGCATGCATTTAGGGGGTTGCAATTAGAGAATAACCAATAATATTGTAGTAAAAAAAATGATCATATAAGCATTTATTAGCCAATAATTGATTGCAATCTATATCTCTGTACTTTATATCTCTATACAATTTACACTAAAGTCAATAAAATTTTGAATAAAAAGACAATAGCATATTTTAAATTTAATTATAAGATCAGTGCTTCTATATAATACAATGTAATTTTGACAAGTATTTATATTTTAAAGGATTTATTACAAGCTCAAGATTAAAAAAAATTAAATTTTTTTTAAGTTGAACAAACTTTTATAGTTATTTATTTATGGTATATTGTTTTAAATTTTAATTTATGTATATGTATATATGTATATTATTCTTTTTTTAATCAGATTGCTGATCATTTATTTACTATACATTCTTTTATTAGATCACCCAGTTTAGTTCAATTTAGTTTAAAGAAATTGAATAATTTATTATTTTTCTTTTTGTTAAATAATTATTAAAATGAATATTGATGAATTTCAGTTAAATATCATCAAAATTGTTAAAAAAAAAGGTGAAATAGTGTTTTTTTTCTTTTTTTTTTTTTTTAAAAAAAAGGTTAAGAATCTACTGATTTGAAAAAAGCTTCAAGATCAACTTGTCTCAGAGATATATTTCAAAATTTTCTTATTGTTCTCTGTAACTTAAATAAAGTTTTATTATATTCTGATCGAGCTATATCACCAAAATCTTGCTAGAAAAGATATTGTTCAAGTAAGTCTACAGCATTTAGTACTTTATTATAAGTAATTTAACATATTTCTATACTATCATCCTTATCATCATTTTGATTTTCCTTAGGTACTACACTAGTAGTTAGGTTTAGAATTTCTTGGTTGGTTAATATTTCAATTGTATTACTTTTTTCTGAATAATTAATAAAATTATCAAGATCTATTATATTTTGAAGGCAGAGTACCTCAATATTTATATGCAATTCTTTTATTAACTTATTATCATTATTATTACTAACAAGTTCTTCATTATCTTAAATAACCAGAAGAATTTCAGTATATTTAAAGCAATTATATACTGTTTTTGATGATATTTTTTTCTATGCATAAGCAATATATTTTATAGCAGTAAGAATATCTATTTTATTATCTGCTCTATTTTCATACTGATCAAGCAACTACTTTATAAAATAACTATGATAGCAATGTTTGAATAACATAATAATACTAGCATCTATAGGTTGAAGGCAAGATATGGTATTCGGAGGAAAGCAATAAACGGTTGTATTATAAAGATTCAAATTATCCAAGAATAAGATTTTGCACTATTTACTAAAAGAATCACCTTGTAATTAGCCATCTTTAAGTCAAATTTTTTTAGCTATTTTGAAATAATATAGTAGTTATCTATGTTTTGCTACTAGCTCTATAGATAATACCAAGCTTGTTTCTATTTGTATCTTTAAAGCAATGTGGATTGAGAGATTTACCAATAACAAATAGCTTTATTTTATCTGTTTTATCTGTATTGGTACAAAATGCTACAGTCAATTATTTCTTATCCTTTTTTTTATCTAAAAATGAACAGTCACAAGTGTGATATCTAGTTCAAGACTAAAGAGTGAAAAAAAATTAAAATTAAGATTAAAAGCTTAAATTATACAAAATTAATTAATTGTTTCCA